GGTTTGGTGACAGTGAGTCATATCTTCTAATATGTTTTTTGGGGGGCTGGATTAGAACCCATGCCACTGCAGTAAGTAGTTCTGGTAAGGCCTCAGCCTTGGTACACGGGGCGCAAGCTCTACCAGGTTTTAATGGTAGAGCTTTGTAAATTAAATTGTTTACCCATGTTTCAATTCACAAAATTTCCCAAACTTATTTAATATTTTATATAACATCTGTTCTGTGGCATCCGCTCTTTTTCCCTGATCTTCAAAATATTCATTACAGCTAGGAAGCTTGATAATTTATCTTTAATTACTGTAAGCTTATTATATACTTTTTTTTTTTTTTCCAGAAATCTTGTTGTGGCCCACTTTCATACTATCTTTGTTTACTTGATTTTCATTTTTTTTAAATAGTCTATTTCAGAATTTAATTTCAAGCCTCAATTGAGTTCAGGTCCCTCAGGAACTATTTCTCTTTCCCTCAGGAACTATTTTGGTTCCAACACGTGTGTCAACACTAAATTAGTTCGTTGAAATGAAAAATGTCTTTACAATAATTATGACCTCAGATCTCCTGATATACTGTATAAGGAGTCTGTTCAGAATATAGAAACCAGAACTTCCATCACTCAGCCCTTACCCTATTACCTTAGTGCAAGTGAGTTTATATCTGCTGCTGTAAGGAGTAAAGTATATATTTAGGTGTGTTTGTGTATGTGTGTGTGTGTGTGTGTGTGTGTGTGTGTGTGTGTGTGTGTGAGGGTGGGTAGATTGATTGGACGATGGTGGATTTGTATTAAAAAAAGAGATAGAGAGGCAAAGAGAGAGAGAGATCTGGGGAAATCTGATAATTAATACTGCCGTGTGGAGGTACAGTAATTAACATTTGTTGAATGATGAAAGAGTCTGATGTGCACACACAAAAAAATATCATACACATACACACTTTTTTAATAACAGTATACGGTTACACACTCGGTTATACAGAGTGTGTAACCGTATACTGTTATTAAAAAAGTTGTATGCATGCTAACAAGCTACTTTGTTGCATGCCGGGAATGTCAATCGACAATAAGGTTCGCCATGTGGATGAGATTATCACAAATCTGAGCTGACACCAAAGGCAGACATGTAGGTGTGAGTGTGTATTACTCACTGATCTGGCAGCGGTCTCCCAGTGCCTGGAACTGAGCACAGTCACACACACCGCCCTCCTGACACCAGCCACCATTGAGGCAGCCGCAATATTCTGGGAAAGAGAAGAAACGGACAAACTCAAGTTCACTTACCTGAGTCTGTAAGGGTAATGATAGTTTCAAGCTACTTTGAAGGCATTTAGGGTCTCATAAGTAGCGTATTTACCTGAAGAGGCATCTCTGGCTGTGTAGTTGTGTAAAATACTGCGCGACAGAGTACCCTCTGACAGCAGTGGCCTGTATGTCTTGGAAAACAATAAACAATAAACACTTAAAGTAGTTCCTTGGACATTTCTCAGGCTCAGTGACACAGTGTTGTACCGTTAGTGTACCTGCTGCTATAAGTTGAAAGTTGCGTCAGGTTGAGTGGGAGAAAGTGTATGTGTTAGTGAGTGTGTCTCATTCTTTACAAAGACAGCTTTGTGCCGGTTAGCGTGTTGTGCGCATGTGGGTGCCCTGACCTCCTCTGGTTCTCTTAGGTGTAGTGTACCAACCTCCTCCCCGAGGAGATCCCGTTTCCTCCGAAGTGCATTAGCCCTTCTGCACACACACAAACATGCACATTAGTGGGAAGAAACAGTCAGAGGGGAGACTTAAGTGCACTTTACACCACTTGAATTCAGACTCCAAACTACTCTTTACTAAACCCTCACAGACACACAAGTGCACAAACACACACACACACACACACACACACACACAAACACACACACACACACACACACACACACACACACGTTATCTCTGTCACACACTCTAGTGATAGAAACAGAAAGTTGGCCTATTACATTGTATGCTAATTACCTGAAAAAAATCATAGGGATGATTTATTTTATTTTTTTACATAATAATAAAATACCAACGTTAACCACATTATTACTGACATAGAATAATTTATTAAATTTTCTTCCTTTTATGTACCTCTGTAGTCTTCCTTCTGCCACTGAAAGTCGGCTCTGAGCTCCTAAACACAAAGTTATAAGTTATACAATTAATATTAAATTGTTAAACAGTTATCAGCTATAAGATCATCTTTATAATGTAGTACAGTATCAGAAACTTTTTAGTAATCACATTGAGTTGGATGCCATGTCAGGACACAGCAATATAAAGGAGCAGTAAGGGAGAGCAGTTTTGTAGAATATATGCTTTATTGTTTTTATAAAAGCAAACTATCTCTGACAGATCATATAAACAGAAAGATGGGTTACTCCCAATAATGCTATAAAATAATTTACCACTCTTTACTAGGTATGGCAGACCTATTTAATATCCCTCTATGTTGTTGAATGCAGTTCACTTTTAACATCTGTGTAGCAAACTTCATTACAAGACTATTATAACACTTTGGGGATGTAAAACTGTCAGACTCACCCTCAAGTAACAGCAAGTGGGAGATTGAAAACGACATAAGAAGAAATCGTTTCACTGTCCACTTTAAGGTCATCTCAGAGTCCGAAAGGAAGTCCCGCCGAAACGTTAACGGTGCATCTCAATAGTCCCGGGAGGAAAGGATTCAGGATGTCTGCTAGCACCCGGACGATGCTTGGTCGTACCTGTAAAAACCTACCTGGTGGCGACAGCCCCCCCCCCACCCCTGAGCAGATGACGAGTAGCCTACACCTGTGTGTGGGCAGGTAAGCCTGCGCTGCTCTCTGTCACTCCAACATCCTCAGCCACTCATTCGCCTCTGTGGTCCCTCTGTGTGTGTGTGTGTGTGTGTGTGTGTGAGCCCGCAAGGTCTGTCGCTCCATCACGGAGGCTTTCACCTCCAGGGCTACCGTTAAATATCTAGCTGACAGATGACCTGGGTGGGACACTTTTGACGTAGACACAAGCGGAGAGCAAAACAACAGTGCCATTGAGCTAAAACAGAGGGCAGGGAATCTAACCCTCCGACTACAGACACAGTTGTTACCTGGGATACGTTGGTCAGAAACTTCTCAATGGTTTCAACGGTTCTTGGGACACCAAGCAGGAAATAACGGCTAGTTAGCTAACCGACAATTTAGCATACGTTAACGTTATAACTGCCTGCAATGAAACCGTACGAGGAGCCGTTAGAACCGTTGAAAGTTAGGTTACATATAGAACGTAGACATTAGTTGGGCTAACCTTAGCTAGTAACTACACTTAGCGAGTACGTTAATGCTAATTTATGTTAATATAAAACGGTATGAAAAATGCCTGTACTAACTAAAGTTAAAGTTAAGTTACACTGCTACTGTAGAGGCCTCCAGAGTTAACTTTGTCTGTGATTGTTAACATTTTTTTTTCCAATTACCTGATACTGACGAAACATTAAACGTTAGCCATTCAGTTGGGCTAGCTACCAAGCTAACTGGTTTAGCATTAGCTAGCTTATCTTTGTGCCTTTAACAGTTAGCTTAACGGTTAATAACCAACATTACCTTTTTTAGTTTTTTAACTTGTCAATGACTGAGATAATAATAATAAGATACAAAAATGAATTATAGCAGCTTGTTTAACGCATAGACATAACACCCTATGTCTTTTTTTATTCTTTATTAACAGCAGCTGTATTCACTATACTGAATGTTTGTTTGTTTTTAACAAAAAAGCAAATTATTGCTGAAAAATATTCCTTTATTTCTCAGACAAAAATCTTCAAAATATATTCTCTCTTAGTGAATTATAGAATTCTTATTTATTTCATATACCTGTATAATAAAAAATAATATAACACAACACTACAGCCAACACAGTAAATGCAACATTTGTAGAATATAATGCAGCCCAGTGCAATAAAGCTGCATAATAATACTATTGTAGAGCATATAATACTTATTGACTCTGTGTTACAGAGATTAATAAACTATTACTATTAAAAAATATGGTATGGTAAGCCATTCCTGTTATGTTTTCCATCCTATGTACAGGGGTGGACAAAATGATTGTGCATCTCTTTTCTTTATCAAAGACAGAAGAAAATGTTATGAAGTGTGACAACACACTACAATTAAATTAGAAAGGATGGGTGATGCTTTACTGCTTATTTCCTGTGTAAGATAAACTAAGAATCACATTAGCTATAACTGATAAATAATTGAAAACTAAAACTATAATGGGTTGTTTTCAATCGAGACATTTTGACATGTCACAGTTGGAGCAAATAATAAAATTAATGATGCCTGAATTTAATGTAATTGCTTCAGTTTCAGGGCCCTGGTATTGTGCGTGCTCGGCTTCCCGTCACACTGTCATGTCGCACTAGGACACTTAAATGAAACTGAGCCACTAACATAATTATTATATTATTATAATTATTATTATAATTATTATTACTATTAATAATACTAATACCAGGGCTTTTCCTAGTATCACAAGTCAAAATGTGAGTTGTGATAAAGGCCTTTTCCCTAATTCTTCTGTAACACAAAGTATTTGATCGTATTCTTGTTGTGAGTTTTGACCTGTTCTGCCACTTTGGCTGTGACGCTGCAGAAAGACCTTTCTATGAATTATGATGCCAAAACATTTATCTTGGCATTTCTCTCGTTCTAGGCTGTGCTCCAACACCATAATCGGTGTACTTACTTAGCTTTTATAAGTATAATTTCTACTGTAAGATGTTGCAGTGGGTACATATGTTACAACCTAAGGAACTGATAACAATATACTGCACAAGCAAAAAGCAACAATGAATATTATAAAAGTAAAGTAGAGTCAAAATAGCATTCCTATGAGGATCTCATTTCATTATCCTTTGGATTGTCTCCCTCTGCAGGTTGATCATGTTTATGTCAAGTGTACCGTGCATGTTGAACAACACAGAACAGAAGAAAAAACATACAAAGGTTTTTAAAAAAAAATCTCATCTGGTTTAATAGCAATGCACATTGTGATACATCTTTGTTTAAAACTCTTTGTAGCACATTAGTTGAAGCAGGAGGAGGGAATTACTGAAGGAAGAAGGCTTAAAGTCTGTGGGAGTGACTTGGATAGTGTCAAGGGTAAAACAGGGTATTATTTTACTTAGTAAGTAGCTTAAAGGTTTTTTTAGGGGTATTATGGGAGAGTTAGGAACATCAATTGGAAGTAGCTGAGGTAAATGCTGCAAGGAGTCATAGCCCACGGAGGTCACAGTTTCATTTCTTGTTGGAAATTAGTGCGTTGACTTCATCCTCTGGCTGGAGGCTATGCCACTGAGCTATTGGCCTCCGGGGGTTAGCCAGCATGTCTGACCAATGGCATTGCTCAGTCCCAGTGCTGTTGGCACCCAGCAGCACCTTCCCGATGGCATCGTTCTTCCCAATCTTATCATAGTCCAACACAGTCACTGCTATCTGCACCTTCTATAAATGCACATACACATAAAGAAAATAATGAATTTCTGATAAGTTGTATCTGTGTGTGTGTGTGTAAAAATGTACGTACCTCTATCTGTTCACATGGCACTTCAAAGCTGAAAGACTCATTGTAGTAAGGGTTCAAAGTGTTCTTCTTTATCGTTGTTTTCTTTTTCTTGAGTCTTTTTCCATTCTGCATTAAGTGGATCTTCACATAAGGGTCTGATAGAGAGAACAGAGAGGTTTTATGGCAGAGGAACAGACCAACAGCCTGGCAGTGTTGCAGTAACTCCATCAGTGAAACACAACATCTATTGTAGTAGCTCCTGATAGTTTTCCCCAAATAGAAACTGCTTGAAAGTGGACACACCACTTAAAAAGTAATTATAAGGCATTAATGCAACAAACCTGAGCTATTTAGGGTGCACCTAGTGACATTATAAAAAGTACTGAGACATTTCTTATTAGTTGAAGTGTTTAAATTATTTTAAAAACTTGAACAACTCCAGACCTTTATTAACAGGAACTAGACATGGAGCTTAAACTTAAATCTCATGTGAATCGAGTTTTGAGTTTCTTGATTTACCTGATAATCCACCCACATCCATTTTCTTCAGGTTTTTGGCTTCTAATATCACCATGGTCAGCTTTCCTGCAGTAGGCACATACCTCAAGGACAAACATACATCTCCAAGCTTCTCACTCTAATACAAAGAAAGAGAAATGGGTGTTGTTGAGGAATTGTCTAATAATTTAAGTATGGCTTCACAATTACATGAAAATATTACTGAAGCATTATCACAAGAAGCTACACACTTCTTTAGAGAGGAGTGGTGATATTTCTGTGTAGTATTCCTGTTTTCTTCAAGGAAACCTCAAATATTAAGTAACCTTGTTCTCTAACACAAATAAACAAATTAACAAAGAATTAAACAACTTTTGTAAAATCCAATAGCAAGATTTGCTTCATCCTATTCAACTTATACTTGTTTTTTTTCCCCCTCTCACAGTGTGCTCCCACCTCCTCCTTCTCTGCCTTCTGCAGATCCCTCCACTCCTGCAGAGACTGGCTGAAATCCACACTGTTCATCGGTATCTTCACAGCTCCAATGGCATCGTGTTTTGAGAAACGGTCGAAGTCGTACACAGTCATCACCAGCGTCTTCCCACCCAGTTCAGTGTACAGTACCTACAGAATACACATCAAACATATCATGTGCCTTGTGCTCATAGTGAAGACCCCATTTCATTAACCTTGGAATTTTAAATGTACCTTAAATGTGAAAGTCTCATTAAAATTGGGTTTGAGGGTCTTCCGATGAACTTTGGTTTCAAACTTTTTCTTTTTGTCCGGGAGCAGATAGAGTTTAACATAAGGGTCAGAACTGCCTCCCACGTCCATCGCAGGAAGTTCAGCAGCCTCCAAGATGCCTACTACCAGCTAGAGTGTGATAAGGAAAGGAAAGTAATAAGAGATGAGAATCTGGCTAATTGACAGAGAGAAGGAAAGTATTAAAATGTGACATTTTTGAGTTGGCAGATGGTGGGCAAAAACATGTCATCGTGAATAACAGCATCTCACCGTATTATCTGTGAAGTTGTAGTCTAATGTGAAATGTAGCCTGCCCAGCTTCTCTTCCTCCTTGGGCTCGTTATCTGACAGCTCTGTTTCTTTGATACCTTCATCTTTCAGCGGCTGCACACACACAGAGACACACATCATATGCAGGTAATATATAGCTTTACAACCAATCAATGAGGACCTTCTGTCAACTTGTGGAGAAGCTATTTGTGCTGTGTTCCTACAGTATATTGTATAGCATTGCACAGCCAGGGGCAATTAAACAAAGATAATGTTACCATATAAAGTTTATTTATTGTTTAAGGGGACGGGGGAAATTTCACACCATCAGTGTGTTTAAATGTGACCTGAAGACAGTGAAATGCTCCAAAACAGTTCATCTCAGACCTCAGCCTTTACTACAACATGAGCAATGTGCAAAACATTCATTAGTCTTAACACACACTGACAGTTTTACTACTCCTGGGTGACCCCAATGTCAGGACTGTGATACATTGCAAGGACAATACATCTGCAGGGCTCTGTGTGTGTGTGTGTGTGTGTGTGTGTGAGGCCTACCTTGTTGTAACCACCATCCATTTCAGTGTCAAAGTCTCCCTTGCTCTTCTCTTTTCCCTTTTTCTTGTCCTTTTCTTTGTCCTTGTCCTTCTTTTTCAAGCACTTCTTCCACACACACACGATACACGAAAGCACCACGCACAAACTCACAATGCAAAGGGCAGCAACAGCCCATGATGGCACTGCAAATCCACACACACACACACACACACACACGCACGCACGCACGCACGCACACACACACACACACACACACACACACACACACACACACACACACACACACTCACACACACACACACACACACACACACACACACACAGATGACACATTATTAATTTACATACACTTTTAGTCGGGCACTTGAATACAGTGTTCAAAAATGTTATCCTTGAATTTAATACGTGTGATCACATATACAGGGAGTGAAAAAAATATCAGGAAGACTGGAAAATTCAATCCAATTCAATCCAGTACTCATGTAATAAATGCTTTTGTCCGAGAGGTGTTTAACATCTGTTGTCATTTTTAGGCCATAATTTGTGGTGCTGTTGTACTGGATTACAATATATTGTAAGGTGTTATCATTTGTCCATCTCCTATGTATCCTGCTTGTTCTAAAGCGTCATTGAAGCAATATATGACTCTGATATCAAGTGACATATTCCAATACAAGATTTTTTATGACCTTTTGATCCACTAAGATACATGCACATAGCATTGTAAGCAGTATGCATCTTCAACTCTGGCATTTCTGAACTAATGAAAAGGAATAACTCCCACACAAGAGGACAGATAATATGCTTCCTCCAGGGAGATACCTGTCCCATGTGCATTTTTTAAACATAACCTAACTAACGTAGTACATCTGTCCCATATAAGCAAATATTTATCTGGCCTATTCATATGTAGTGAAGAATATAAGTGAGTACTAGTAAAGAATCATTAAAACTTTGACATTTTACTGGACTTTACTTAGTATTAGTATTACTGGACAAAAATGTTATCTCATTTACAGTATTTCCAGGGTTATACCTGGCTCTGGTGCTTGGATATGTGACCCAAATATATTTTAAGATGCAGTTTTTAATGCCTGCAACATTACAGTACATTGGCATCATTGCATTTGTCCATGGGCATGAAGCATGAGGATTGTGTCTAACTCACTGTGGATGATGCGCAGTTCACTCATAAATTTGTTGGGATTGTGGCCTCCAGATTGTTTTTGGTCTGGGGTGGTTGTCGCATTTGGTAAGTGGGTTGGGGTAATGGGGTTGCCCAGTGCAGATGGGGCAGCTCGACGGTTCCCAGTCATTATTTGAGGAGTGACAGCAAATCCAGAATTAAACTGGCAGACAAACAGGGATACAGAAAAAGATGGCTCAGCCTTAAAAAAAAATAACAATTTTTGTAATATATGGAACATTACACTTCAACAAAACAGAAGTAACCACGCCTGTAAATGCCCTCCAAACAAACCATATACACACACATACACAACACAGCAGAGTTTCCATAAATGCTATTGATATTGAGATGTATTTGAAGCAATAATCTGCTTATAGACACTGTTTGACCATCAGTATCAAATGACTGACTCTTGTTTCTGCTGGCCTGGCACTAACATTTGAATACAGGATATGCAAGCCGCTGTGTCTGCCAAACCTGCTGACATGGATGGGGAGAGGAACGAAGGAGAGGAAGGGGAGAAGTTATGTTGAAGCGTCACGCGTGGACCACTGCTGTTCCACAGTGAGCTGCCAGAGGTGAGAATCACATGCCAAGGTCAAGCTCAGTGCAGGTTAACAATGCATATGAGAGAAAGGTCCCACTGCCAAGATTTGACTCCCACATTTTGATATGTTATTTTCTATTCTGCAGACATCACAGGTATTGAGTATCCTGGGGTTGAGTCAGCAGATGTGATCTCACACCCAAGTGAACACTGATCTTAGTTTGTGTCTGCTTTTTCAGGATTATTCACCATTTTCCCCCTGAAACGACAAACAGAAGCCACTACTGATACACTAACAGCTGCAAACAGATAAATTCAAGGTACATCCAAATGAACAGGTAGTGATGGAAAACAAAACAGCATGTGTATATATATATATACATATATATGTGTGTGTGTGTGTGTGTGTTTGTGTTTGTGTGCGTGTGTGTGTATGTATACACATACACACACATATACACATCTAATTTAAGCAATATATATTTCTGATTCTGATGTGCTTTTCTGAAAGTCTAATTAAGACAATGAAGGACTCAGTATTCACACCGTATGGTCCCACAACTTCAGCAGCCAAAACACTTTTTACCCCCGATCTTACAAGGTGGCAAATTCATTACAGCATATGAAATATGGTGTCACCACAAGATGAAAGCTCTTACAAGTGTAAGACAAAAATCAGGCTTTTTTTTCTAGCTTGCTATCGGAAATTTTCTTCAAAGGAGGAGACTCTTTCAAGAAAAGTGAAAGAAAATAAGAATAGAATAAGACACTGGAGTTTCAAACTAATAAATTACCCAAGATGAGTTACGATTCACTTTGCACAGTCGAGAGAGATATAAATCTAACCGCTTTTAAATAATGAAACAAGAAGAAAATAAACAAAAATAAACCAGAGACGTACCTGTATTCAGTCGTCCCAGCAGCAATGTTCAGATTCACAGGTACTCCTTTTCGTTAGAGAGAGAGGTGGAGGAGGAAAATAGATGAGAGAACCAGAGAGGCAGAGGAAAATAGTGAGGTAAGACAGTATTTGTGTCTGACCAGTTCTTAGACATCAAGAAGAAGAGTGCAGGTGTGTGAGTGCTGGATCAGAGAGAGAGAGAGAGAGAGAGAGAGAGAGGGAGGGGAGGACAAGATAGGGTTGAGGTTGGGATAGGTGGCATTGCAGCTCGACCATCTTGTGTTGCTTCCCTCTGTGTGTCTGTGTGTGTGTTATGTGTTTGGGTGAATGTGTTCTTTTCTGTCCATTCAGGTCTCATGGGAACGCTGGTGCTTATTTCTAACGCCCCACCTCTTGTGACCTCTGTCCCACCCTTACAGGTCACCCTCACCGGGCCACTGATGCATATTCATTAGTGAAGTGACATGGCTTTTTAAAGGCTCGTTAGCATAGTGAGAGTTCAGCAATAGAGGACATTTACATTCAGGGTGGACAGCTCCGGTGGTCTGTGTGCATCCGTACATCTGGCAGTAGCTGCAGAACTGTCTCATACTGTCTATGTATAGATGATGTTTCCTGATTTAGAAACTTAGGATGTGGTTTCTGCAGCACCACCGAGATCAAGTTCCGGCCCCGCCCCGTTCACCTTGAGGTACCAGATACTGTACAGAAGGAGGGATGAGAGGAGGAAGGGGGATGGGCGGGGAAGAGGGAGCTCGACATAACCTCTGTCTGTGACATATAGAAATTTGTATTTCTTTTGCTTATTACAATTTTTCATTATTTTCCTTTAAACTATTTTATTATTTAAGATTCAAGAACTTTATTTGCCATTTGTGCTTGCACACATAGAAACTCTTGTGCGGTTTGTTTTGTTTTGGCCAAGAGTCTCACTGTGGCAGGGAAGAAGCTAATTACACAGTCTTGAATCCAGCTGACTCAAGCCCATGTTGGAATCTTGAGTTGACATAACAGAAATCCTTCTTTTTGGTGTTAGCACATTTATGTGAGTAGAAAATTAAGTTTTATATATTTATAGAGGAAGTCTCATTGAGATAGAGTTCTCTTTTACAAGCGAGACAAGAATAATTCACATATATACACATGACAGAAAGACAAACAAAGGAGTCATCAACCAGACATACAACTATTTAAACAGTTACAAAAAATTATTAAAAATCTGTTTTGGTTATTAGCGCTGAACTAAGGATGAAGATACAAACAAGAAACTGGTTTTAATTCAGGGTAAGCATATCATAGCACATGCGCTTAGTGACAGAGTATATACAATGGAATTCAGCCATTATTAATTTTATTTTTCACATCTGTACTTTCAAAATGAAAAAGGCCTGTTGTGCTGCAAACGTATTTTCCTACACCTATAACCACTATTATTAATGGTGTAAAGGCAGGGAGATTGTGTAAGGTTATATCATGTCCCACAGACAAACTTGAGCACCTTCAGTAAGCACATAATCATTATCATAATCAGCGTAATAATAAAAATAAATATGTAATACTTTCACACATGCATGTAAAAAAGAAAAATGGTATGTCCAGAAAAGAAAGAAAAATCCCTGCACTGTTACTTGTGCAGTATAAACAATGTTCAACAGTGTTCTTGTGTTTACTGTGGGGGTAGAAAAACAACTCCACCTCTGAGCGCTAGGTGGCAATAGTCATCTCTGATCTACATCACATCTACCCAACACAGAAGAAGCTTCGTCTCTAGGATACAGCATTCGTGTCCCACTGATAGTGAGTTTCCCCAAGATTAAACCACTTCTTGGGAAGGAAATGGGTCGTTTTTTGTTTGTTATTTTTTATGTCTGGGCAGCTACTTATTGGTGCTTTTACGTAATTGTATATGTTTAGAAAAAATAAGTTCACCGGAGACGCTGACGAGTTGCTTCGGCTCAGCTAATTACCTAGCTACGAGTTCGCCGAGTAGTCGAGTAACGTTATATCGATATACTAACGTTATGTACCGCAGCACTTATTTGCAGATTTGAAGCTAACATGAAGTCAAATCTGACATTCTTCATCAGAAAATACCTGGAAGATTTGTGTTTGTGCATGCAATACATTATATAGTGTACATAGTAGTTTGTCTACTACAAGTACTGTAGTAAATAATATATTACAGTATGGTGGAAAATATAAATCACTGTTTAGGTAGTATAGAGTGGATAAATATTATACTGTGAACAGCTTTTACTGTGGAAATATTTATTGTGAGTAATAAGTAAAGTAAAAGTCAGGCTGTTTTAACACAGTAGTATTTCATTAACATTTAAAACTGAGAACATGGCTCCTGAAATGTAAGCAAAGATCCAGACACACCTGCCAAATGATGGTAAAGTACAACTCTGCTGCATAAATTATATTCCTTCACACCCACTTTGAGCCAATAATATTTGAATGCCTCTGCGGTTTTCCCTTCTGTTGTTTTTCATGGTGAGCCAGAAACCTATATTTGGACACTTGCATGCTAAATCAAAACAGTGAGTCAATATCATAAAAAAATCTGGGTTTGTTCCTTGTGTATAAAATATGTATTTATTTTTTGCAATTGCCTCTTTTAAACCTCAGCTTGTGTGCCTTCGAGGGTGTGGAGATGCTGCCGGTGGAGCATCTTCACCTGGAACATGTTCTGCAGACTGTGTCCGTGTTGGAGTCAGTCATCCTCCGCAGTTTTGGCCCTGAAGGAGGACAGGTGCTGTTCATCCGAGACACAGGACAGGCGATGTTGAGTCGCAGTGGGACACACATCCTCACAGCACTACGCCTGGACCATCCACTGGCCAGGTAACACAGATTCATTAACTGTTTCACTATGATTTTCTTTGTCAAGTCACATTTTCTCTTTTAACGTGTTTGTGTGTTTTTCATTTTAGGATGGTGGTGGAGTGTGTCTTGAAACACAGCTCTGTAACAGGCGATGGATCCAAAACCTTTATCCTGCTGCTGGCGTCATTACTACGGATGATTCATACAGCGGCCTGCAAGGGAACTAATGTGTCTCACGCCTATAACTCCAGGAAAGCAGCAGAGGCTGCCACTGCCAGGCACTTGGCTGACAAGCTGCTGGCTTTTGCATTGGAGGAGCTTGCTGATGTCATTGCTATGGGAGTGGTGCCGTATGGATACTGTATTTCGTGGGAGGATTTCACAGCAAAAACACAATCACCAGCTCACACAAACAATAACTGCGTTCAAAAGCTGCTGGCATCATTTTTTCTTTCACGTCTGGGTCGCACCCACTGTGACTTTATTAGCAACCTCACCTGTGAACTGCTCTCTCACTGGAAGTTTAAAAATAACCAACCTCCCTTCACACTTCAGTTTGTAAATGACAACCTGCCAGCATTGCATACACCCGTATCGGGCTTCCCTATTAGTTGTTCACGTTTGATTGAGGGGCAGGTAATTCACAGGGACTTTGCTACACCTTGCCCTCAGACTGACCACCACCCAGTTAAAGCTGTAGTTTTCACTAGGTACCTGCAGCCAAAATTGCTCAGTGCAGGAGAAGTCCTGGAGCTGGGATATGGAGAGCAAGGGAAGGAGAGAAGCATTGTGCAGTTTAGTGCCTGGGCAGAAAGGTCACTCGAGTGTGTCATTGCAAACCTGCAGAGTTTGGGTGTCTCTGTGATCCTGTCTGCAGTTAAACAGTCTGCTGCTGTCCTGGCTTTAGCTGCACAGGCTGACATGTGCATTGTGGAGTGTGTCAGTGAGGATGAGCTGTCTCTCTTTGCCCAGCTAAGTGGGGCCAGACCTGCCTCAGACTGCTGGATGATTGAATCAGACCACGTTGCTACTCTGACTTTTTGCCGACCAATACTGCTGGGCGCCCATAGGTATGTCTTTCTTTCTCACCCATACTGTGCATACAAAGTCACACATATGCATACAACAAACTACCTGTGCATTACACATGCCTGTAATCCACTGTTGTTTTCTTCATCTGGTTTGACTCACATAAGTTTTTTTTTTCTCTTCCACAGGTATGTCCATGTGGCTTTCCATGATTCAGAGGAAGCGGTCCAGGTCAAACCCTGTAGTCTGGTCATTTGTGGTCCAGGGGAAGGGCAAACTGACCAGTATGCATGTGCATTTCGAGATGCCATTCACATGCTACGTTTAACTTTGGAGCCCATGGGTATGACTGCAACCACAGCATCAAAGAGGACCTTACAGTCAAACAAAAACACATCTTTAGAAATGGAGAATCAGATTGCCAGTGCGCCTCCCTTCCAGAAGTGTGTGTTGGAACCAGGCTGTGTTATACCTGCTGGTGGGACATTTGAGTTTCTCTTAAACCATGCCCTCCTACAACATCATGGCCGCAGTTGCTCAGTTTCTGATGACACGAATATGGGTATCCCTGCTGTTTCACAGCTCTTGGCAAACGTTCTGCTGAGCCTGCCCCGACAGATTTACTCCCATAGTCCGCGGTGTTTCCTGCAGACTCAAACCAGGCTCCTGAGTTTTATTGAAAATCATTCCCACCCTTTCAGCCTCGTACAGAAACAAGAACACAACACAATCCTCATACAAGGTTGGGGCAAAAGTGAACGTTCTCTAGAGGATGGTAAACAAAGCATGCATTGTTGTAGAGAGGCTGACGTGTCATCAAAAGTTTTTATGTTGGACTTAGGCCTTGAATCTGTCTCTTGTAAATACCAGCTGCTTCTGGCCGTGCTGCAGTGTGTCTCAAGTCTTCTCCAGGTAGACGCCGTGCTGCGCACACAGACTGCCTTACGCACACAGTCACACAGACTTCCAAACATTTCCTGGGAGGGCACAGAGGACGAGGCTGAGGAATGAGATTGTATTGTATCCCAAGATGAAAGCCATACACATATTTTCTCTCAGTACTTGGTTTCATTCAAAAGGTGGGGGAAATAAATTGCACTTTAATTCTGATTGCTACAGAGTTTTTTCTCACTTCATTATTTGTGCTGCTGTGTATATATGTAATGTTTAAACTTGTACGGAGATAGTAAATTACATTTCATGGCAGTACTCTTTTGTGGTCCAGTTTATAGGCCAATAAAATGTTACGGAGCTTCTGTACCCCTTCAAGGCTAGGTTTGGCAATAACAGTGTAAAAGAAAACATCAAACGACTCAGTGTTAATCTCTGTGTGGGACAGAATGTGCAGTTGTTATCAAATAGTTTAGTCTTTATCTACTCTGTGTTAATGTTGAGTAGTACGGCAGTGTGAGTGTCCAAGTGTTGATGTTGGCATCTTTCCACTTGACTTCTGATCGTGCTTCCTATTTTTTTGGCATTTCTCTTCCTTATCTTGGTTTTCCTGCCCTCTTCCCCTGGCCAATACACAGGCTGTTATATAAAAGGAATACACACAGAATCACTCCGAGACATCATCTCACAAATGTACACACTGCTTTTTATAATCAGTGTTATCTCCACATTGGGGGTGGGGTGTCTAAGAGGGCAACACCCCGCTGTCAACGACCAAATCAAAGTGTGCTTCCTTGTGCTATTATCAGAGGAACACTAACTATTCTCACCTTCTTTTTTGGGGAAATAGTGAGTCATTAGAAACTAACTAGGCTCACTACCATACATAAATATGTATTGTTTACTGTAATCAGTGTGTCCTCTAAGTTGCCCCGAAATTTTCCGTAAATTAATTATGAAGAGATACTTCGGCAACAAGACTTTGTTTGTGCTTTGGATCAAACTGTACATGAGTCACACTTGATGGTCACAAATATCAAAGAGGGGAAGTATGGTGTTTTCCACTGTACACGTGGAAAAGATCATGAATGTTGTTTTTAGTCTTATCAAAGCACTCACGCCCTTCTTTTATGCCTCCAGCGATAACTGTGGCCAAAGGCAATATGTTTTTGAGTTGTCCATACTTCCAGTATGTCAGTCCATACGTCTGTCCGTCCTATTCTTGTGGACAGATGTACAAAAGTCTAATCCAGGCAATAAATGTGTCTCCTATATGAAATTTGTCCAGCACAACAAGGAGACTAAGAAATAATAAAACAGTATAAAAAGTGTAAAAAAAAAAAAAACATACATTAATTATTAGCCGGGAATATTTTGACATGTTTTAGAAGTTTGACAATGTGAGTCATGTCTTCCTGAAGCATGGCACAACAGGAAATCCCACTTGTCCTTCTAACCCCTGACATGCACACTATATCCTACACAGCTAAATCTAACACTCCAAGCAGAGTCAGTGTGATAGTCTGTTGGTTTAATAGTGAAGATTTTTTAAAGTTTTTAATGAACTAGTCACCTGCTGAGAATAAGCCTAATGAATACTTACAGCTCATTTGACTCGATCATTTGATTGTAATAATATAATACTCTCAGAGACGACATAGTTAGTTTGGTTTATTTGGTTCTCATTAATTTCTGTAATTCTCTGTAAAACATAGTGCATATGGTATAAATCAATCCAATCTCTGTAAAATTAAAAGGATATTATAAAATACATCATCAAACCTCATGTACCATACAACCACCTAAGTGTAGAAATCTTTTACAAATAAAAAAAGAAGACATTTACAAAACGTGACAAAATTAAAGGCATTTTTTTTTTTTTTAAAAGGGCAAGTAAGGAGATGGATAAAGAAAGGAAAGGAACAAATTAAATGCCACAGGAACCAAACTGCTACTCTTAATACCAAGCTGGAACAAATCCACAGTCACCACAGTTCACAGCTCGGCATTCACTTGGCTACTAGTCACCATGGTTTGACTGCAGTGTTGTATGAAAAAGGAATTGAAGAATTTCATTGGCTACTGCTGTATTGTGCTGAAGTGGTTGTGGCTGCCTTTTCTTCTGGCCCTGGTCCATGATTCTTCTTAACGGTAGGTGAGAAATGTGATCAGTACCACAATAATATGATCTTTTGTTTAGATAATTAGCAGTTCACAAACACTAATTTCAATCAAATGACCACAAAATTACACATTTCTGTACTACATTGCCACTGAAGCATAGATGACACCCATTCTATAGTTGGGCCAAATAACCACATTGCATCTATATAGTCCATAAAGGTGGGCCTAAGTGTCAGCAGCACAGTTATAACTAACGTATAATTGAATAATCAGAAATATCTGCACCCAGCCTAGCTTAGGTTATCCACCTTCAACAAGCAGTGTTTCTATTGGCAGTGGAGAGTCATGTGACCCTAGGAATGACATCATGCAACATTAATAAGGACTTAAGGGTGCGACAGTGGGTGTCACACGACCTCCCGAGACTTCCTGATGGCACAGCACAGGAGCATGCTAAAGATCATCCCAAACACCTGTTAAGAGAGAGGCAGACAAACATTACTTGTGTTTGTGTCTACACTGCGTTCATCCTCATGGGGAGCAGACGCTGGAATTTGAAGACTTGCAGTTAAGCCAATTACTCGCTTACCATAACAACACCGATGGTGATGCCCACTCCTCCTATGATGTGAAGCTTGGAGTCAAACACCTCATCAATTGCGTCAGGACAGCTCTGCAACACACAGAAGCACGGTTCCTTTAAGCTATGCTGAACATGTCTTGTGGTATGGCTCACATAACAGACAGCCTGAGAGCATGAAGGCTCCAGTAAACCATTGTTGCCATAGTAACACATTGCAAGGAGACTGAGGGAATTAGTCTGCAAAGGGAAGACTGATAAACTTGTGACACACGTCAGACAATCATTATGTATTCGACATACAGTAATTGTTCTTGCTCTCACAGAGCTGAAGCATGTCTGACATCTGTCTTTTGGATGGTTCCTTGTACTGAAATATGTGTTTTCTTCATCTATCTCATGACTGAAGTGCCTGGCTGTGTTGGCATCCATCTACACACACTTTCAGAGTAGTTGTACCTTCGTAATGAGCACCTCTAGTGGTTCTCCTCTGGGACAGGTGTCTTTGGCAGCATCAATTACAGTACCAGTTGGCCCACAACAGTTCAGCTGTAAACACACACAGTATCATACCTTTAGAGAAGAAGGTGACTTGCAGACAGACAAAATACATAGCTCTAACTACAAGTAATTTAAAGGAATAGTTCAACATTTTGTTAATATTTAATTCCTCAAGTGTCCTGAACAGTGAGACAGTGGAGACCCTGAATAGAAATACTAGATGCTGCATGGATAAAATGTTGTTCATGAATAAACTAGTTACAGCAAATAACTACAATGTCCGCTAGCTCGACAGGACATGGTATTACTGTGTGCTAGCATTAAGTAACTAGACAGGATAAGGGATTACTGTGCTAATTAAAATAAATGTGTCATAGGTTAAACCTCACAATACTTAAATTCTTAATTACTCAGTGGTTCTTAGTTAGTACTTAGTTAAACTTTGTAAACAAAATAATAAGACCATTATCATAATCAAATTAGACTTGTTTCAGTCAGGATGAAGACACTCAGACTATAGTTACTGCACTCTGTCTTTGCACTACCTGTGTATCAGTTTATGCTTATACAAAGACAGTATTAGCAGTAGTAGGCAGAGTGCAATATCTGCAGTTTTGTGGTCATAGGTCAAATTGTTTTTAAGCCATGAAAATTACTTAGAGAATAAATATTTAATAAGCACATAATCACTGTTCTACCTAAATCAGGGCTATATTTCTCTGTTTCATTGTCAGCGTATTACTGCGGTTAGCCTTTGTAGAGACGTATTGTGCTGATCATTAGTTCACTAAAATTCAACTTGGATCCTTTTTATTAGTTTTTATAAGTTTTGGTTCACCTATATATATCATGATAGCTAAAAATTGTGGGGTGTTTTTTTCTGTCTTTTGAAGGTGGGCGTGCCAGAGCACGTTTGAGAACCAATGAATTAAACAAGATAAATCATGTTAACTAGTGAGCTGGTAGGTGTTTTTTTTTTTTACCTCTGGATCCTCTTTCCAGTGTTTATGCTAAGCTAGGCTAATTGCCCTCAGCTCTATCTCCACACCTACTGCACAGACATGTTGATTATCTCATCTAACTCAAACAAAGAAAGTCAATAAGCTAATTTCCTGATGTTGAACTTAATTTTGAAGATAATTTTCTGAACCAGCAACTTCTAATCATCACACACATTATGGATAATACTTGTTGCAGAGACTTGCGAGATGACAAAAAGAACTTCCCATGGGAATGCACTGCATTTCCTTGAAAAGATCTATGCAAGATTCCTTTTAGATAAGTTGTGAGTCAGTCGGAATTAGATCAAAGCAGACGTTGCTCACCCCGGTTTGGATCACCCGCAGTGTCTCTTTGAGGCGCTCATCTCCTGTCGTCTCAAAGTTTTTGTAGGTCTGCATGTAGAATGTTGTGATATCATTCACCACCTGCAACACATCAACAAACCGGGGGAAAATATTTTATATACATCACTAAAGCAGACAAGTAGTAACATCTCTTCATGCTATCTTTTAAACCCTTTTTCACAATTATTTCACTCACTTTGTTTTTTGTTGCCATACCTGTCATTTTGTGATTTATTGCAGTTGTTGACTTGTATTTTTCTCTACCTGGTGCTTTTTGCCCTCTTGCTGCTTCTTTGTATTTATGTGAAGTGCTGGTAACTTTGTTGGAAACTGTTATATAAATAAAATGATCAATGCAACATACTTTAAACTTGTGCGTTACCTTGCTTTGGTTAGAAAATCCCCAGATTCCTGCTGCAACTTCAATGGCAAATATGAGAAGCAGGAAGAAGAAGAACTGCACAAAGAAAAGACAAAATTAAACTGACTGGCTTTTGTGAATGTGTGTCTCCATGTGCGCATGTCCTTTGCATGCGTGTGTGAACAAGTAAGGTCATTTGAGTGTAGTTGAACCCAATTTACATAGACTCCTCCTCCTGAGAGATTTAGTACAAGAAGATTAGGGCCAGACGGGGCGGGAGAGAGGGAGGGAGGGAGGCTACAAGTAC